TCATAAACCAGTTAACTAATATATCTACTATCTGTCTCTCCCACTGGAAGTAAACTCCATAAGAACAGTGATCTCTATTCATCACTTGTACCATCTGGGTCTGATGTGTGTCTGACAAGTGGTAGATGCTCCATCTTCATCCTAGGATTCAGCCTTAGAGATACAGAGATGCCCAAGGCAAGGTCCCTGTACTCAGGAGTCTCATGGCTAATAGGGAAGCAGCCACCTAAGAGCTGTGGGGGAGAGGCCAGGGGACAGGGTGCCATGGGATTGCAAACAACAACTTGAGGGGAAGGTGAAAGGGCTTCCTGGAGGAAGGGATGCCTGAGGCAGGCTCTGAAGGTCTGGGGGCTGTTCCTCTGACAAAGATTAACAGAGCATTTTAGGGAGTGGGGAGGCATGCATGAAGGATCAGGAAGGTGGAATATGGTGTGGTCAGGAGAGAAGCCAGTCCAGAAATGGTTGTAATATGGAATGTGAGTTGGAGCAGCAGGAGATGGGGGGAGAGAGAGAGAGCAGAGGCCAGTCCATACAAAGCTGGGTATGTCATTCTAAGGAGCTTAGACTTGACCTAGGAGCAGTGGGAAGTCACTGGCTGATTCTGCGTGTCTTGTAGGAGAACAGACTTGGGCTAACTCCTTTTGGGTGTCATGGTGAGGAGGAGGGCCTCTGTTTAAAGGGTTTTGTCCTTGCTGTCCGTTAGCGTCATGGGCTTCTCTTCTCCATGGCTCCTAAACCTTTTCTTTTTGGTGTGTCCACATGAGTGGCCATGGCCTTGTCCATCCCCAGGGCTCAAGGAATTTCCAGAGAGGGTAAGAGCACAACCCTTGCTCCATTCTCCTCTAAAACTCTTAAGTATTGTCAAATTGTCCCTTCAGAAACATTTTTTAAATCAACTAAACTCCCACCAATAGAGTGCCTGTTTTACTATATCTTTACCAATGCTGGATATTCACAATCTTCTACATTTTTGGAGGTTGAGTTATAATGGCCTCACTGTTATTTTAATTGTATTTCCTTGAGTTACAGTGAAATTAAACAACTTTGCTTGTGTTTACTGAATATTTTTATTTCCTCTTCTGTGTATTGCCCATTCACATGATGTGCCTATTTTTTTCTGTTTGGTTCTTTGTCATTTTATGGATTGACAGGAGATCTTCACATATTTTGGATGTTGTCTGTTAATTCTTATAAATACTTTCTCTCAGTTTTTTAATCTGGAGTAGTTTTTCTCAGGAAGCCCTTTCCCAACTCAAAATTTTGAATTTTCCTGTATCTCTTGCAAATACATTTTAAGATTTTGGTTTGTTTGTTCTTCGTTTATTTAAGTGTATATTTAGGTCTTTACTCTGGCTGGGATTTATGTTCATGTATGATGTGAGATAGGAAGTCTAGCTTGAATAATTTTTTCCAATTGAGAGCCAGTTGTCCCCATTAAGTTCATTAAATAACTCATCTTCCCCCGACTCCATGAAAAGCCGTATCTAACAAAGTAAATTTGCATATATACAAGCATATGCTTTTGGACTTTATCCTGTTTTACTGATTTATATGTTTATTCTTTTCTTAATATCACACTTAAATTGCTACAACCTTATGGTGTGTTTTGATAATTGATAAGGCAAGTCTTCCCTCATTGTTGTTCTTCTACAAATTTTCCTTGGTTGTTCTCACACATTTTCTATTTCAAATTACTTTTAGAATCAGCTCATTAAGTGTGATCAAAAGTCATCCGAATTTCTACTGGGATTGCATTGGACTTATAGGTTAAATTTGGGAAAATTGGCATCTTCACAACATTGAGTCTTCAAATTGAGGGGTGGTAAAGGTCATACCAAAGGGCATAGTTATTCAGGCTTTGGGTCTGCCAATTTCTCTCCCTCTCCTTTGTACATTCAAGAATAAAAATAGATACCATAAGTTTTTATATAGTGTTATGGTCAATTTTATGTGTTAGCCTGTCTGGACCATAGGATGCCCAGGTATTTGGTTAAAAATTTTGGGTGTTTTCACAAGAGATTGGTATTTGCATTGCTGGACTGAGTAGAGCAGATTGCACTTTCCAGTGTGGGAGGGCCTCATCCAATCTTTTAAGGGCTTGAATGGATCAAAAAGGTGGAGGAACAGAGAATTCACTCTCTCTGCCCGACTGACTGAGCTGGGACACTGGTCTTCTGCTCTCAGACTGGGATGCACACTGCGGGTACTCCTGGTTCTCGGGCCTTTGGAACTGTGCCATTGGCTTCCTCAGGCCTCCAGCTTGAAGATGGCAGCAGGTGGGATTTCCCAACTCCATCACTGTGTGAACCAATTCCTTATAATAAATCTCTGTCGGTTCTGTTTCTCTGGAGAACCCTGACTAATACATATGGTATTAGACATGGACTGGAGAAGGGAAGGAGAAAGAAGAATGTTTAGAATGAGAGAAGTGTGGATCCTGGAAGCAATTCCTGGGAGGAAGAGAGGGAAGCAGAGGATGGGGAGTGGAAAGAGCACTGGATTAAGAGTTAAGAGACTAGGTTTTAGTCCTGTCTTTATCTAATTAGCCTATGACCTTGGGCAATTCATTTTGTCTACCTGGGCCTTGAGTTCCCTACATGGGTAATGGGGCTTTAAGCTTGCTCTGGTAATCCACCGAAATGCCCCATCTTACAGAATAATGTTGGTGATGAGATGTCAGGCACCAGTGGGGTGCTTTTTAATGTTTAGTGCTTGAGATATATCCTCTGAAAGACTCTTCCCAAGGAAATGGAGCTACTATGTGTCAGGCACTTTTATAAGCACTGGAGGTAAAAGAGAGACCCACTCTCTGTCTTGATGAAACCTATTGTCTGGCACTGGAAAATGAATTTTTAAAAATCATACAAATAATGCAAAATAGCAACTGTGGCTAGAACCATGGAAGTAATATACAGTGGGAAGAGGGTCTGTTAAAATGGGGTCAGAAAAGCCTCGGACAGCTTCCCTGCAGACGTGACACTTGGGGTGAGTCCTACCACATCAGAGATAACTGGGCTAAAGGGGGAGTGTGCCAGACAGAGGGAACAACACATGCAGAGAGACGAGGAGAAGGTCAGAGAGACCGGGGGAGAGAGAGCATGGTGGAGCTTGGCAGAGGATGAGGCTAAACAGGTGACTCTTAAAATTGCCTAAATGGGATCTGGGGTGTCAGCAGTTGGTCGGGCATTGGTCCTTTGTTTACTAGATTATGAGGATTTTTGACAGGGTCTTGGGGGAGGAGCCAGGATGGCAGGGGACCCTTGTGGTTGGGGTACTGGTGCTTGGGATCAGGAAATATATTGCGATATTTTAACAACCCTGTGGCCATATGTTCCAACTGATTCCCAGTGGTTAAAGTGGAGAAGTGGGTGGGAATACAGCCATGAGGACTTAGAAGCCACTTACAGTTTGCTTGCATCCTGACAATATTGGGGAGCCACTGCTGGGTCTGGGTGGGTGACAGGACCACAAAGAGCTTTTAGAGGGCTAGGACCCACATGAGAAAAGTGAGGCATTTGCTTGGGTGCAGAATTTAAGTGGAGGCAAAAATCAGTCATTGGGATGAATAATATTTTAATGCTCCAATAATGTTTTATTTAAGTAGTGCAAAAAATCCACTGCGAGCAAAATGCCAAAATTTTAATGAAGACCTCTGACCCTACATTTATGCAACACAGCTTCATTTACCTCAACCCAATCTCTGCCTTGCTGAAGGCTGTTTTATGTAAATTTTTAATATTTTGCTCATTATAGACCTCTTTTTTTTTGCATTAACTTCAAGTTTTTAAAATATTTCATGCAAATGTATTTATATTGATTAAATTTTGTGCCTCCCTTGCCTCACCAGAGTCCTGGCCCTGGTTTTGAAGTGATAACTTGGGCTTGTGGGGAGTGTAGGCCTTGGGGCCAGCGTGGATGGGAGATCGGTGAGGGTGGTGTGCACGTGAGAGATGCAGCCAGATTGTGTGAATGTGAGAGAGAAATGTGCAGGCAGGCCTGCTGCTCGCTCCTCCTCCAGAATATTCTGAGGAGGGGGCAGAGGGGGATGCTGTCAGCAGCCCATCTGCGCCGCATGCCTGCCAACCAGGCTTGTGAGCCAAGCACCCACTTCCCTCAGTGAGGATGCTGGGGAACCATTTTCCCAGGAGGTGGAAGTACCTTATGGTTGGAGTTGGTCTTACCTTGGGGCTGATCCCAGGTGGTCCCCAGGAACCGATGGACCCCTATCTGCTCCCTCCCAGTGCCCATATGAGCCCTGGCCCAGGCTGTAACTTCTCTCGCGTGGTCTCTGCAGAGCCCACCAGACACAGGCCCTGAGACCCCGTGGGTGTGTGGACCTGCCCATGTCACTGATGACTCCAACTGTGCTCAGACCTTGATTATAACCTACCTTGGTGGTCCTGTAGGCTGTGGCTGGGAAACAGACCCTTGATTTCCATTTAGGGCCTTGAGCACATGAGCCTTAGAAGGACATCCCATGACACAAGGTCAGAGTCAGGTGGGACCTCCGAGCCTTGAGGACATGATTGTTAGTGTCAGGTCAGGAGGCTGTTGTCTCATGCTCTGGATGAAGAAATAACAGGGAAAGGCACTGGCTTAGAAGTCAGCAGACCCAGATTTTGGTCCTGGCTGCTGGACTCCTATTTAGTGTGATCTTGAGCAAATCCCTTCATCTCTAGATCTCAGTTGTCTGTCATATTGGCACGCTAGGCTGGAGTGGCCCTGGTGTTTCTGATACCTGAGTATATACTAGGTACTATGGGTAGAGCTCAAGAGGAGAAGCATTTATGGTCCTGTTCTTGAGGGTGAATCATCAAGCTGGTGATGCTGTGTGACAAATCAACCCTAACTCAGTCTTAGTGCCTTAACACATCAATCATTTATCCTTGTGCTCACAGTTCTGCAGGTCAGCTGCCACTCAGCCTGGGCTAGACTGGATCTCAGACTCTAGGCTGCAGATTGGGGACAGGTTCATTCCACATGTCTCTCATCCCCCACAGGCCAACAGCTACTGGATGTGTGCTCAGGATATGTGCTCTGCTCCATGGTCACCACAGCCCAAGACAGCAAACCAAACTGGGAGAGCAGGTGTCCAGCCTCTTCTCACTTCACACCTAATGTCCATTGGCAAAGCAAGTCACATGGCCAACCCCCAAATCAGGAGGTGGGAAGTTCACTCCATGCACCATGAACCTTTGGCAAAGGTACACATATATAATACTCCTGGAGGAGAGTGAAGAATTGGGACCAGTAATTCACCCTACCACAGTTGGGGAAGACAAAAATAACCCAGAGAATATGAAAAGGTGCATGCATGAGTGTGTGGTCAGTTCACCTCTAACTGCTTCTTTGCTGAGAGTCTTAAATCTGCCCCATGGCATTGGCATCACTACCAACTCAGGCTGAAGGACACCCAGGTCAAGGATGGGGTGATGGGACACCTCAAGCCTCCCATATTGGAGACAGCACTAAGATGGCTCAGTAGCTTCCATTAACTGGCTCTTTTGGTTTTTCCAACCTGATGTCATTTTATCAGCCTGAGCCTCAGGCTGTCGAGACCATCCCACTGTGTCTTCAAACCTCTGGCAGCCCTTACATCACTATGTGGAGCCTGGAAATGAAGCCAACATGAAATGCAGAGCTAAGCAGGTATAAAGAACTGAGTTATGATCTATCATTGACGCCCCTGGATATATATAGCCATGCATGAAGCCAGAATTTCTCCATCACATGAACCAATAAATTCCTGTTTTATCTTAAACCAAGATTTGAATTGGGTTTTCTGTCACTTGCAATGGCAAGGGGGCTCTGTGCTTGATACAAGAGCTTACCTACCTACGAGGGTCCCAGGTAGGGGAAGGTTCTTCCCAGGTGCTGTGTGGTATAGAACCTCTCAAAGTGTGCTCTTTGGATCAACAGCGTTAGCATCACGTAGGAGATTGCGTATCTTGGGCCCCTCCCTGGATCTGCAGAATCAGATATTTTTTTAAATACATTTTAAAAGCCGCAGGTGATTCACATGCACGTTAAAATTGAGGAGCATTCATGTTGAGAAGCAGGACAAGCCTCCCCACCTCCCTGGGCTTGCCTTTGTGACTGGGTACAGTTTAGCAGTTGACTGGGATTGGGGACCAGGGTTCAGTTCAAATCCTGACTTTGCTATTTATGAGTTGAGGGGCAAAGAACACGTGTGTTTATAAATAACTCTGAGCCTCAGTTTTCTCTTCTGGAGAATGGGGATAATAACAGCGATATCTACCAGGGTTTTTAAAGAACTCAGTGTATTTAACTCACAGAAAGTGCTTGGCACACTGTTGGGCAAAGAGGAAGAGCCTAAAATGTGCCAGTATGGTTATTTCTACAACTACTTTCCACAAAGTGGGGCAGCTCTATGTTCAATGTACCTAATAACTTTTTATATATCAAATGATACAACAGATGGGAAAACATTTTTGGAATGTGGAAATTGATGCACAAGTAGTGATATTTCTAAATCTTTTAAAAGAAAATCATTCACAAGGGTTGTTTTTTCTGTATGTGATCAGTAGATGGTTAATTTTGACCTCTGCATTTGTATGAAGGTAGGAGCCAAGAGGCGAGGAGAGGTCACCAGGAGGGGGCAGTGTTCTGAGCTGAGTCAAAGAGGCAAAAGGGCCTGCAGGAAAGGGAGGATCAGAGCATATGCACAGGAAGACATGGCTGAAGACAGACCGCAGAGAGCCCTGGGTGGTAGACAAGGATTTGGAGTTTACCCAACAGGCACTGGAGATGAAACTAATCATAGTGACACTGGCTTCCCTGTGGTCCTTTGGCCTGCTGGGTTCTGAGTCTGTCCCTCCAACTACGTGGCTTCCATGTTGGACAGACCTCAGGAGAGCTCCACATGGACCTTGAAGGCCTGACAAAGCCCAGCCCCACTGCAGGAGGAGACAGGGTATGATTGCGCAGAAGCTGATGGAGGCCATGAAGGAGGGGAGCCTTGCTGCTGGGAGTCACTAAGCCCCTTCAATAAATAGGTGAGGGCTTCATATGCATGTGGCCTCGGGCCTTTTGTTATTGATTCCATGTGGGATTGAGAGTTGGGATACCAGCCCAATTGAGACTATGAGCTCAGATGGGAGATGGGTAGGAAGGGGCTTTAGTAGGGCACTGCCAAGGCTTTCGAATGAAATCTGCCACATAGCGTTGGAGAAGGCCCATGGAGTCCTCTGCTCAAAGGACTCCTGAGCATCCTTGATTCTTATTCTCGGGGATCCACCCTGGGGGAGACACCAATCTTGGCTTTTGAAATCTGCAAGGGTGAAGAAGTGGGAAAGGATAAAAGTTTGCTAAGTACTACTAATGCTCACAATTAGTTTCTGAGGTATCTGTGCTTTACAAAGACACTGAGTTTGAGAGGTTGAGACACTCTCCCAACTCCAACTTCAGGCATGGGGAGGCAGTAGAATATGATGCAGAGAATGGACTGGAAGGCAGACAGAATGGAGTTCTGCTCCCCCCTTCTATCTGTATTGTTGCTCACTCTGAGAGATCATGGGCAAATCACTTCACCTCTTTGTGCTTTAATGTCCCCATCAAAAAGTAGGGACAAATATGCTCTTTTTGTACGACTAATGCTAATATTATCCATGGTAACACAATTAAAGTACATAATGTGGTAGATGGGTCATATTAAGGAGGTAAAGATTGCTCTTTATTATTGCATTCAGAATCTAATGGTCTGGGGTGTTAGAATTCAGGAACGACTTCCCTGAGGAGGCAACACTTCAACTGAGATAAAGGGAGGCAGGATTATAAGCGTGACGGGATAAGGCATTCATTATAGGATTCATCATGGTCTTATGCTTGGAGAAATTGGGGGAGTGAGCTTGGAAGGGGAGGGGTAACTGGAGGATCAGAGAAAAAGTCAGTAGTAGTCGTGAAGCCCCTGGATAGGTAGGTAAGTTGGAGTGACAGGGAAAGCCAAGAAATCAAGCATATCCAGCCATCAAGGCTAGGCTATGAGGGGAGCTAATGGAGAGGGCTTTGGGGTACTGTCACTCTGTGTATCTTCCATCTCTCTGGGCCTACATCCACACATCTGTAGGTAGGCCTTGGATAGCAAGGCCTGCAGTAGGGATGAAAAGCTGGAGCAATGCCGAGAGTGAGAACAAACTGGGGTGTTCCAGGCATCCTTTTGTCCGCCCGTCAGCATACCTGAAGGCTGTGATCCTCCCAGAATAATGGCTGATACTTCACTTCCTCCTTCCAAATCTTGTGCAAGTTCTCATTTTGGCTAACTCTATCCCAGAACCATGCAGTAGGGAAATTCTGGAGGTGTAATTCCAGCTTATCCCAGTTGAAAGTACAATCCACCCCAATGCTGATTCACTAGTTACTAAGATAGAGAAAACTTGGAGAGGACCAAATTTGGGGTGGGAAAATCAGGAGTTCTATCATGGATATGTTTGATTTGAAATGTCTGTTTAAGATGGCCCCAATCATCCCTGTGTTTTGCTATGTGTAGAATATAGTTGCTCGTGCCATGTGTAATCTCTCCTTGAGTATGGGCTGGATTTAGTGACTCACTTCTAACAAGTAGCTTGGGCAAAAGTAATGGAATGTCACTTCTTAAATCAAGTTACAAAAAGACCAGGGCTGCTGCTTCTTGTTCTCTTGCTCATTGTGTCTGAAGTTAGGCAGCTGCCATATTGTGAGCAGTTTATAGAGAGACACCCCCACACCCTACCATGGCAAGGGACTGAGGAAGACCCCTGGCTGACAGTCATGAATGAGGTTGGAAGCAGATCCTGCCTCAGTTACACCTTCAGATGAGACTGCAGCCCCAGCTGACAGCTTGAGAACCTCAATCAGAGGCACCCAGATTCCTGACTCACAGAAGCTGTGAGATAATACATGGGTTTTTTTTTAACTGCCAGATTTGGGGGTGGATTGTTACACAGCAATAAATAACTAGTACAGACATTTAAGTGGGTATTTGGGCTTGGAGTTTAAGGGGTAAGTCAAAAGTAGACACATAGGTTGAAGAAATATTAGCATATGATGGTGTTTAAAACCATGGAACTGAATAATATTACTTAAGTAGAAACAGTAGCCAGAGAAGAACAGAGGTTTGAGGAGTGAGGCTTGGGCTTCCCAACATTCAACAGCTGGGCAAAGGAGTGAGATTCACCAAAGCAAGTGGACCCCAAGTGGCTAACGCAGAAGGAGGAAAAGCAGAAGGGTGTGGTGGCAGGAGTCAGGAGAAGGAGGGAGAGCTCGATGCTCAATGCTGCTGAGAGGTAAGTCAAAGTGAAAACAGAGAAGTGCCTGTTGGCCTTGAGTACATGGAGTGAGTGTTCCCTGGACAAGGGCAGCGTGAACAGAGAGGAGGCTCATCTGGAGAAGACTGAGGAAAGCTGGAGCGAAGGTTGGGACTGGATGTGTGCCTGACTATGTAGCATGAGACATGCCCAGAAAACATGGACTTTCCCTTTCAGTCCCAGTAGAACCGTGTTTGCTTTCCTGTATGGTTCTTGGCCTTGGGAGATGACAGGCCGGAGAAGAAGAAGTTGGGCTGAGTGGAGGGTGACTTCGGGAGACAGGGTACAGCTGGAGCAAGTTTGGTGGCAGAACCAGGGAGGTCAAGAGGAAGAGTTTGGTAGTTAAGATAGTTTCTTTGTATGGTCTGAGAGCAGAAATCTGCTCTTTGTCATTAAACAAACACTATGTGCAAAGACTGGCACGCAGGAGTGATGGGGTCAGGTATCACCCCAAAGAGAAAAGATTCAAGGTCTGGGGGGAGGCAGACATTTAAGTAGACATTATAGGACCTTGCAATTAGTCAAGTATAACAGAGGTACATCCTGTGCTATGGAGGAGGAGGGAGGGAGGGCCTGTGCCTGCCTGTGGAACAGCGAATGAAGACCTCCTGGAGGAGGTGGTCCTGGAGCAGAGGCTTAGAGACTGTTCTTCAGTCTCTAAACTTAAAGACTGGGGAGATTATTCCAGGTTTCTTCTCTCACCTCCCCTTCAACCCCACCTGCCCACCCTTCTTTTCCAACTCTTCCTCCTCCTCTCTCCTTTTCCCCTGCCCTTCTCTCCCTCCTCCTTCCCTGGCCCTTGATGAAAGGTCTTGTGGCCTCCTACTGATGAATTATGCATGTCCTTCAGCGGGTGTGCCTGGCATCCAATTAGGGCCTTGGCCAGGTTGAAAACATAGACAGATTAAAATGTAATTCCCTGAGGTGACATTTAAGCCCCAGTGTGAATGGCAGGGAAGAGAAGCAGTGCTCTCCCAGAACCTTCTGTGCTGGGGGGTGGGGGCCGCTCAGCTACGTGCACTTGTGGAACAAATGCCAGCTGAGAGTCAAGGCAGCCTATAGGCTGGATCTTTTGAGACACTGCTGGACTGGGGAAAGGCCCAAGGCAGGCTTTGAGCCAAGATGGGCCTTTTTTTTTTAAATTTTTTATTTGGAAATAATTTGAGATTTACACAGAGTTGCACTAATAGTACAGAGAGTTCTCATATGCCATTCATGAGCTTTCCCTAATGTTAACATCTTATGTAGCCATGGTACAATGATCGAAACTAGGCAATTAACATGGGTCCAATACCATTAGATAAACTACTGATGGTTTTCGGATGTCACCCAATTTCCCACTAGTGTCCTTTTCCATTCCAGGATCCAGTCCAGGATCCCACATTCCAAAGTAGGCTTGTGATCACACTGGGATGGCTATCC